GTATTCAAATTATAGCAACATCTTGATGGTTTCTTGTGGAATTTTTATACGAAATGAATGATAATCTATTTAAACTTGCAGAATTGGAGATCTTTAAGACAGTATAAATGAAATTTGAGTGGAATTTTTTGTGTGTCTCATGCTTCCTTTCAAGAAACCTAGCCGTTCAACTCTACATGCATCAAAGACATTGTAAGACTCAAGTATCTTTTATGTTGTATTGATCACAAATAAATCTATGAAGAAAAGATCAAAAGGAAATATCTTCTTTTGCAAATAAACGGTAGATCAAGATTACATGGTTCTGTATTCCTGAATGTAATCTTGCATGTATTCTTGCAAGATTACATACAAGATCTCTTGTGCAAAAAATCTTGCAATTTAAGAATAATTGCAAAGAGATAGGTTTTACTAATTTGATACAATGTGATTATAAATGCGATTGGAATTTTAAAGCAGTATTATGATTATAAATTATCTTTGAAAAAATCGAATAATAAATAATTGCTTCAAATCACAAATAGTTTATTTATATATATATATATATATATATATATATATATATAATTTACAAGAGGAAATTTCTCAATAAGCTTTTTAGATATAATATATAATAAGAAGAGGCTATAAAATGGATGAACTTATTCTTTTATTGTAAATATAAATATGTCAATTCATATGTTGATTCAAAAAATTATGAAAAGAATAACAAAAGTTAATTTTTGAGCTTTACATTTGTTATGTTTAGTAAAATTTTGACACATCTTTTCAAATATTTTAAAAATCACATCTTCAGATGAGTCCAACAAAAATTCTATGGGACAATGTTATTTATGCTATACAGGAAACAAATGTATTTCACCATTTTTTTTTATTATTATTAGAGCCTTCAGAATAATTTTTCTAAATATAAAGTTAACTTAGTGAAGCTTCTCAATTTCAACCAATCAAAAGATTTAATAGTTGTGGCTTCTGACTTTGTCTCCTAAGTATAAAGTCTTCAATTTAGAATTGAATATATATATATATATATATATATATATATGCATATATTACAAGATAGCTTTACAAATGATGGTTATAACATTAAACATTAATATCACAAAGGTTTTTATTAAACATTAATGTGATTTTTTTAAATCTCAAATTCAAATAATAAAACCAAAATATCAAGAATATTTTTAAATCATCTTGCATCACACTATATTTAAGTTTAAGGTCTATTAAGTTAGATAAGATCTATGCCAATTACATTCTTGTACATTTATATGCAACCATTTTAATTCACAAGTCTCTACTAATTTCTTTAGTATGTCATTTTATCATAGTGCACAAGATTTTAAAATTAAGTAGATTTTTTAAATTTAGATAGTTATAACAAAAAATCCTAGTTTTTGTTGTTGTTTTCTTTTTTCTTTTATATAATAACAAATAAAATCTGTAAAATATATATATTTTTTAATTTGGATCTTTAGTTATTTTAAGTTTCTAAATTTAGTAATTTATAATTTTTTTAACCACTGAAAAAAAATCTATATAGCAAATATTACTATACATCTTTTACTTAATTCTAAATAATATTACTTTTTATTCACTTTTTATTTATGTATCAAACTGCCTAAGCATTGCTTCAATTATTTTTAAAACGTGGTGTTTTTTTATACATATAAGAGGTTAGAATGCAATGTCTAATGTAATATTAGTACAAATTTTTAAATTTTAAATTTCTAAACAAATATTTTAAAAACTTTATTTTCACAAAGATTCTTGTAAGACATCATAAGTTGCTTTATTTTATTAATAATAATCTCCTCCTATATTTTTATTAGACCATATAATATTTATAATTATATATATATATATATATAATTATATATATAGATATCTTTTTATTCATTTATTTTTAAATAAAAGGCACTCATCTTATATAACTAATTTTTAGATCAATTATTTTACAATGGAATAAATAATTTGACAAAAATATAATTTAATAAGATTATAGATCTTTAAAAAAATATCTTTTATTTATACTTTTGATAAGAGATTCAGATTTATTTAAAATATAATAAATTCAATAAAAATATCAAAAATATTTCTTCCATTATTCTATAAAAATCATAAATTCAACACATATTACAAACTAACTTTTAAAGCATAAAAATATTTAATTTCCTATGTTTTTCAATCAAAATATTAAGCTCTCTTATCAAAATAACTTCTATTCTTATAAAATTAAAATATCAAACCTAGTTCTTATATTATAAATTTAATTACAAAATTGAAAGATTATTAGACAATTATATGATTATTTAATATTATGAGCTAATATATATATATATATACATTTATTTAATTATCCAATGAAGAGATGTATATAAGAGAACCTTAGCTTGCACAAAAAATCCATTTTTTAAGATTTATAAATTATACTCTTTTTATAAATGAAAGACTATTTCTTATTTAATCTATGTATGTTTGAAATGGTTGATGGTAACTAATATTTTTTATTATAATTGAGAGTTTGTATAATAACATTATTATATTTATTTATTTATTTATTTATATCTATGTAAAAATTTAAAATAATATTGAAGTATGTACATTATATAAAGACCTTAACACCATGTTATTCATAATAATCCGCTTGATTAATCTTGGATAGTGTATTGGTCTATATTCATTGTCCATGATCTTGTCTTGTCATTCTTGTCAACTGTTATATCATATTTAATACATTTGAATACATTTTTATACTAAACTATAACTAATAAGATGCTATAATAACCTGTACAAGCAATTTACTTGTTCTTCCTTTAAATATTGTGTTCATATAGTCAATCACCCCTGACTATGTTAGACATTCTTGTCCCTTTATTTTTGCTAGCTATTGTATCATCCTTAGCATGTTTGACGATAAAAAATTTAAACAACAATTTTTTGAAGTTTTTTTTTTTTTTTTTTTTCAAATTAAAATTTGATATTAAAAAACTCTATTATTGTAGAGATAGACATTACTATTGAATGTGCACTACTAGTTTTTTGTTTTATCCTCTTTTGATTTTAAATCCATTGTATTTATCTTATCCATTTAAATTCATCTTATTGTCTTTTGTAGTAAACAAAAAGACTTATCTAGAGTACCATTGTTATAGTTGTCATATTGTCTAATACTATCCTATCTAAAAAAGAGTGCAATAAATCCTTTACAAACATATTTCTTTGGTTCTACTACATGTTTGGGTGGCCAATCCCTTGCCCTTACTCTTTGCTTATTTTTCAGATTGAGGTGATTTGTAAAAAGTATATTTTATTATTTGTGGTATTGCATTATATACATTAATGGGGTTGTGATTGTGATTCATCACAAATGGTAGGTAAGCTAAGCCTAATACCAATTTGGTAAATATTTAAGTTTGTACAAAACTATTGTTGTAAAAAAGGCCTCTATTTAGTTTCAATTAGCTCAAAGCCTAATGGTGGTATATTATCTTGCATTTGTACAAAGAATTCATCTATTCTACATTTCTTCTACAAATTTAATAATTAAATCCATAGCTTTCTTTCTTGTATCTATTTAAATGATGTGCACAAATTATTTTATACATCTAATTTCATCTAAGAGACATGATTGTAGGTTATTGACATTTGAAGTTTTTTTGTGTTGAAGGCTATTCAAGCAACTTAATACATAACCTCTATTTTTTACTATAATATTGTACATCTTGTTTCAATAAGTCTTTTCTAGTGCATAGCCAATTGTCTTTGCAACTTGTGTCTATTTTTTACAGTATTTAATAGAACAACAAAGTTAGTTTTTGATGTGTACTATTTAGGACCAATATGAATTTGTTTATTATGGTCTTAGATTATGTACACTTGTCTTTGTGGTGGTATAGTATATTTCCATTTGCTTACAACAAATGCCTTATAACCTTAATCATTTAGTCTGCTTCTAAACTAAAAGAGCATGTTATAAGATATAAGTTTCTATAGTTAATTAGGCAAGACAATGATCAAAACTATGAACCACAAATTTTCTTAGACAACTCCTATGTTGATTGCAATCTATTGAACAACTATTAGAAATGTGTCAAGAAGTCCTTGCAATATTGTATATTTTAGGATTTTTTTTGTTTACTATGCCTATTTTCCTTGTTGATGCCAAATTTCAGAACAATTATTTGGAAATTACAAAAACAGTCCAAAAATACAATAAACTTCCTTTTTATATTCTTTGTATACACACTTGTGTTACTGGGATCTAACATCTAGATCTGTCTGAAAATTTTGAAGCAATATCAAAATCATGTTTAAGAAATCGTTTCAGCGTTGCATATTGCATTGCTTTAATCATTTCAAAATTATTAAAAGACCTAAAACTCACTGAAACTAAATGAAAAGTCCGTGATAAAAACAATAGAATTTCAAAATACACTAATTTCATATAATTTGACCAGAACAAGTTCTTAATTTTACACAAATATAAAACCATTTTCCAAAAAACTGCTTTTTGACCAGACTAATTCAAGTCCTCATTTGGACCAGGAAAAATTCCCCACAACCCCACCTAATCACACAACCTTCAGACCTACAAGAGTCTAAAAAAACAACTGGACAACATCATGTCACATGGAGCTGATTAGGATTGCCAGATCATAGAAGTGATAGGCATACTTAACACAAAGAGAGTTGACATACAAGAAATAAGAGGCTTACCCATGATGATTTGTGTTATCAGATTTAGTTTGTTTAACTCAGTTTATACTGACTATCAAATGAATTGGAAGCAAGATTGACATGACTACAGCACAACCCATCTTACATAACTGCCAGAGTTGACTAGCGAACTAACTCAAGCCATATAGTATGTTGGCAGGCACAAAAATTAACAGAGGGGATTCAGCCTGAACTGAGAGACAATATACTAAAAAAAATTCAGATAAAGGATGGACTTAGTGGGACCTATAAAGACAGAGTGAAGCACACCAACTCAGACAATGTTAAAGAGAGTAGCTGACAAACTCAATTAGGTGCATAGTCAGCATTAAATAGATGAAGCAGCACCATCATAAGAAAGCTTACAACGAGGGATGAATTTGTTGAATGAGCCATCTAAGGGCAATCTTGTAATGTGAGACTGGTAGAGCCCTATTATGGCCCCTATTTACCTCTACTCCTGCATTCTAGTTAATCCACATGAGCCGTCCAATAATCAGTCTTTCGGCACCTCTCTTCACCTTCCAGGCCACTTTCTTTGTAACGGAATTGAACGAGGGTTACATGGGTTGAGTCAGCATTCTGCATCTTCATAAAAGTTCAATTTCCACGGGCGGGAGAGGCATCACAAGTAAAAATGAAGCCACTCCCATTCCAGTCAAGGATGATCCCAAATGTTTTTGCCCTCGTCCCGCTTCACACCTGCCCACCATTCAAAAGATGGAGCTTTATCTTCCAATTCCGTCATACTCTGAATGAAGAAAATCATGAATGACTATCCTTATCTTCATCTTTCACGACTAGGTCCATGAATAAATTGTTGTACAGGCATTTCCATGTCCTGCCCTCATCTCGTGAACCAAGAATTGGCCACAAGTTGAGGAATTCGAGAACTTCAGTGAGTAAATTCTCTTTGTTCAAGATCATCTCCCTGCTCCGTTTCATCTGATTGCGCCAGCTCAAACTCGGATTCGACAGGCACAGTTTATGATAGGATACTTATACAACAGATAAGCTACGGGAATCCTCAGTTTTAAGCTGTCCATGATGCGGATCGAGTAAGTGAAGGCTTCATCTTCTTATCTTCCTCAAGTCCGATCATTCCTAAGTGCGAAGGATCCTCCAACATCATCTTCGCAACAAGATATCCAGCAATTGACCAGGTTTGAAATTTTCGAGCCTGCTTCCCAACATACCGGCCCAACTTTCCATCATAATACTCAGGCCACCCATCCTTAGCCAATCTAGTCTCCACCTGCTCAATGGCCCGTCTTGCAATTTGCGGTCTCCCCGCCTTGATACATGCGGCTGTCAGCATCCAAAGAATGACTGCACAAGACCGAAAAAATTAAAGATGATCAAGAGATAAGATAACATAGGGTAATGTAAGTTGTACTGCAAGTTTTCAAATCATGCTAACAAAAATAGTGAAATGGTCAATAACCTCATACTCCGACAGGAAGCGGCTTACGGGAATACTGAGCAGAACAATAAAAAATAACATCAGAGATCATAACCCTAAAACGGAAATCTAAAATAAGCGTCTGTACCTGGCCAAGATCCAGCGTTATGATAGCTCCATCTGGTGTTCTTCGGGTCACATCCAGTGACAATGCGCCACTCATGCCCTTCCATTGCAGGATAAGAAACCTTTAGAGGCATGTCGCCAACGAGCTCAGTCCATCGAGCTTCAAGCAAATCCATGATAGCAGACGCCTGTTCAGACGTTGCAAGAGAAGACAGAATAGCCATGAAGTTTCCGATAGCAAACCAACGGAAATCCATGCGAGCAGGACTAACGTTTCCAATAAAAAAGCCACCCTTCAAAGGCAGAAAGTCAAAAATCCAGTCTGGAATGGAATCCGGAATCACGTTAAACTTGTTCACCGCCGTATGTGAATATTCCTCTGTTTTAAACCGGTAAATATTATTGAGCTGTTGATGGTCTAACCAAAAATATTCCCTGATATGAAAGCTGAGGGCGTGAAGTCGCTTATCAATTCTTTCTAGGAACTCTTTCCCATCCCCTTCGGCCTTGATAAGACTCTTTGCAGACCGCAAGGCCATGAAAAACAAGCTCTGAATTTCTATCGGGTAGCCGTAGATACCCTGCGTACACAAAAGACAGAGTTGTCAAGAAATTCGTAACTTATTAAGCATGTTTCAAGTCCTTCAGCACGAAAAAAAAAAACAAAACAAATCCCCATGATATCTTTAACTTCACTCATATGCAGCGAAATCTACATGCTTATCACCACAAAAGTTTCAAACACACATACCATTCGACGATCCACCATGCAACAACCATCTGCGCATAGAAGGGTTGGGAAGGTATCAAATCCATCCGCGAGACACAAAGTCAGTATTAGCCTCATTCCTCTTTGACAGTCAGGCATGTCTGCTAGAGTATGATCTCCAGTTGATTTTGTATAAGCACGAAGCAATATGATCCACCAGAAGCCTGAGTCAACTGGAGCAACTCGCCCAATCGCACTCTCACCAAAATCAGCAATCATCGTGTCTGTTTTACGAACAGGGTCGTGGAGGACCTGCAGGATAAAAGGCGCTATCAACTTCATCAATATGCCAATTGATGCCAACTATTTCCCAAGGAAAGTCTTTTCCGGAAAACCGAGTTCGGCAGAAAAAGCTCGCTAGTGTTACATGGTGAACATTCAACTCCTAAAAGGCACCAAAAAATTAAATGCGCCTTTCAACAAAAATAAAAAAGAAAAAAGAAAAAGAAAAAATAAAGTGGAATTTCAAATACCTTGAAACTGGCAGGCATTACACCCTCACCCAAAGTGAAACAATCAATGCGCTTCTCGATGGATTGAAGGCGCAAAGTCTTTAACAAGAAGTTTTTGACTATCTCTGGTTCGCCATTCATCAGAAATGCCAGTGCACTAGGCACAAAGTCCCTCACGAAAACCTGAACGAGAACATATGTAAATATCTAAAAGTGAAATCAACGGCAGACCCAGAGACAACACCGTCGTCCAGTAGGGACAAGTCGCCAATGATGCATCGAGAAACCCTAGTCATCTACCCCGTAAGTAACATATCCCTCATAATGTCCTTCGTGAAACTACAGACACAATTTTCATCAAACAAATATCATCAAACTGGTGTGTCACAAGAAATTGTGATGCGGTTCCAAAGAAAACGTGACGTCTAGAATCTTACAAATCAACTGAAACAGATAAGTATGGCAATTCAGAGCATACCCAGCAACCATTCTACTGTTTCAAGAAGGAAACGAAGCAACACATTTCCTCTAAATTTAGTCTTCGCCACGCAAGTCCGAGCACTGAAAATTAGCTTACATGTGCACATACAAAGGTACGACGGCATGCGGTTATCTCATTGGAACCAACACCTATTTTGGATAGAGTCTTGCTTGACCCTGTTATCAATCAATTCGGCACATTTTTTAAGTCCCTCCCAAGCTACACATCAGGTAGAACGTATCTATACAACCAAAAAAAGATCTCATAAGCTTTCCCATTTTCCCAGCTGCTTAGAGACGGTTATGAATGATTTTATCAAATGACCACGTAGAAGACTGGATTTAGCAGATGCATCGATTCTTAGTTACTTTAACATTATTCTACAATGAAAAATAAAAATAAAAATAAAAAATCACCCTCTCAAATAGCCTGGCAAAATTGCGAAGTGACTACTTGTGACCGATCAGATCTCAGGGGTTAATAATATGACCAAGGATGAGACAACTTCGCTTCTACCTTAGCTCCAATTGATACGCCCAAGAAGCAAGCTAGCTACAGCCACTAGCAACTGTAATTTAAAACATCTTAAATTTATCTCCTAAAAAGTGATTACAATTGTCGGTTTTTACTGCACGCAAATAGCCGTTACCAGTGCAACGGATGTAACGCACTGGAAACACGAACCACAGCCAGGCGCATATAAATCGCATTATACATTGGATCGCCGACAAACCACGTCTCCATGTATTTTGCCAAATCCAACAACATGTAAAGAAGGAATGACAAGGCAACGGTGACGCCAAGCAAACCTGATTGTAATTCAGTGAGTCTTCCGTCGGATCCAAAGCTGCAATGGTCCCCACGGGTTTGGACCGGAAGAACACCATCGATCTCCTTAACGCTTCCCATGCGTCTGCAATCATTGGATGAGGCTCAAAGGCATGGTGTTCTCGAGGAGTGCCGGCTGACGAGCGAATGCTCGGAGAAAGCAGCGCCTCTAAGCACTCCGAGCTTTTGACCGTCTCCAACTGTCGAGGAGGGCGCGGCGAAGACAGGCCTGACGATATGATGTCATTGAGAGATCTCTCATCAAGAGAATGATGAGTCTCAATTTGACGCGGCCTGGATTCCATGGGCCTCTCAAATTCAGTGCTGCCGTTGTCACCAGAAGTGTAGGAGTCGTTGGTCCTTTTAAGTGACTCCGAGGAAGTCTCCAAAGAGAGATGTCTTTGAAAACTATTCATATCGAAAGGCATTGAGATCCTCCTTAGCTTTGGTTAGAGAGGATAAATCCGTGAATTCCGAAGTAATGTAGAAATGTAGTAGATCGAACGGATTTCCTTTACGTGCCTTAATAAGAAACAGAGAGTATTGTCTTTTTATTTATGGGTGAGGCTTACCAAACCAGATTAGTATGTCGTTTCTTCCTTTCTTGCCGGCTTTAATCCGCAGATCTTTTGTCTTCTTAAGCTGGCTACGTCTTAGCCGTTCCCTCTGCACTCCTGACTGGCATTCCTATGAAGTTCGAGGTCAAGACCTTCTCACAATGCATGCAAGTTTAACGCAAGTCAAGGCTGTGGAGTGTCCTTGTCTAACATGTCATTTTTTTTTTTTCTTATTCACTACGGGAAAACCAGGGAAGCGCCAATCCTTCACTAGGAGAATGCACTGTTGGGATAGAAGGCGCAAATGAAGACCCGGAGATTTCAGACAAGGAAATAATCTTAACTAGGCCAAGAAATCGGTCTATCACGGTAATAGCCAATGGCAAGCAATTAATAAGCTCGTACAATAACAAGCGAACAACAATGGGATTCCAACCCCCGATTGGCCTTGAAGGGAAGAAGGCTGGAAATTGAACCGTCTCACTGCGTCGAATAGAGCAGATCTGCGAATTCCAACTATTAGCCCCTTCAGCAACAAAACACCGGGAAAGACGAACGCGCCAAAGGTGGTGAAAATTTAAACCAAAAAACCGCACTCACAACAACCTCGGCCGCTACTGAACAATAAAACCGTGGAATCTGGATCCCTGAGAGCCGCACCCGTCGTCTCCTCCCACACTCGACCTGCCAATTACACTCCCTCTTTTCCCCTGTTCTATTCAGGCACGTAGCGATTGCTCTTGCAAGCAAAAGATTATAAACTACCCTCCGTCAGGCTTGTCGCTGTTCCTAGGGAATACCTACCTCGACAGGACAACTTGACTCGCCTCGCCTGAACTCCTCTCAACTGCACCTGCCGTTCTCCCACGACAAACCCGCGGAAGACGCAAGGGGAAAGGCAGTGGTGGCACGGCAAGAAGAATGCGTGTGTGCCCTGCTCCACCGCGCGTGCAGTGCAGTGCAGAGCAGAGCAGAGCAGAGAGAAGAATGAGGGGAGGGAGGGCGAGAGGAGGAAGGAGAGACGCCAGTAGCAATGCCAGGCCTTCATATAGTGGCCAGGCCAACAGGGCGATGCAAATTCGAGGTCCCTCCTCCTCCCTTCTGCTGCTTGTGCTGCTTATGCTTATGCTGTTGTGTCCTGCAGCGCCTCTTCCTCTCTCCTCCACGCTTCGAAGGAGACCTACCCCCCACCTTGTTAGCATCCCGGCCCGTCCATTTCCTGAGCGGGTCCCATCCACCCGTCCCGTCCAGACCCGTCCCCTCCTGTCCCCTCCCTGCCTGCCTGCCAGCTGGTGTTGATTGGCTCTACTAACCATCTTGGTGATTAGCTCTAATCATATCAAGGACCCTCTAATCATAATTAACCTGAAGCCTTCAGCCCCCTCACGACTTTGTGTGAGCGTTTCCCTTCCCCCTTTTATGTTTTGTTCTCGTATGTTCCTTCGAGGTTGGGTTTTTTTAATTTTTTATTTATTTCCCCCCCCCCTTCTTTCCTCTCCTGACGCTGGTAGTTTCTTGTCTGCCAAAATTGCTGTGGCATTGGTTGGTGGCCCTATCTCTCTCTCACTCTCTCTCACACCCAAGCACATTCCGCTGAAGATGCCACCAACAAACATTTCCCCCTTTCCCTCTATTTTTAATTTTATTTTCTTCCTGTTTTTTTTTCTAATCCAGGACCAATACCAAAATGTTTCCACAATGCACCCTCTAGCAACCAAATCAATACTTAGAACTGGAGACTGATTATTAATAGTTTTTAAAATAAAAAATAATTGCTAGTGCGCTTTCCATGGGTGCACCATAAAGTTTATTTTTTATAATATCTTCACATGGTAAAAACATCTTGTTGAAAAGAACATGCGACTTGTAAACATAGAAGACATGTGCATGAAAATGTACAATAATACGAATATCAATAATAGTGAGCAAGTAAGAAAGAGACTGCTTGTGATCCAACATTTTACAGGAAATGTGTTTATTATTGTGATATAAAATTTCCAAATTAAGATAACATTCTTCAAACATTTTATTCTTTTTCCAGGCCATAATTTTAGGCGTTTTTAATTCGAAATGAAATTCAAAATTTTCAATACAAAATTATAAAAAAAAAATTGTAAATTTAGAGGACTGCAGTCATGCAATAACTGAGAGACATGAACCAAATACAAAATTGAACTTAAACTTGAATGGTCAAATTTATGATGAACATGTTTGTAGTTTTATACTAAAAAATGTTATGTGTTATTTTATCGACACAACGTGATGAAACAAGGAGGTGACGTTGTTAACAACTGAAAAACCATTAAAATAGTTGTCTATTTCAAGATCAAGGGACCAAATTAAAACTTAATCAAATAGAAATTTTGGTTACCTATAATTATCATTTTATTGAAATAAAATCACCTAAAATAGTAATGTAACCATCTTACTTGATTTTTATTAGTATAATTATTTTTATTTGTCTCATTCCAGCAGCATTATTCAAGTTTGAAGTATCGATAAGAATGCTTTCAATACATTTAGACGGGCAATATACAGTATTATTATTATTATTATTATAAAAAAAGAGCCTTATACTGTGATAGATTAAAATATTAATTGTCACCGAATAGTGCAACAACTGAAATCTGTAAGTGTAATCATTTTTCTAAACATTTATAAAGAACAATCTAGACACAGATGTTGCAAAAATTGAAACAATTGTAGATTCCTTATCTGATTTCCTAAGCTACAACAATTAAAATATTATTAATTTTAATAAGTATTTATTTTTAAAGATCTCATCTTAAAGATATGTAAAAAAAACAAAGTTAGAAAACCTCATAAAAATAGTTTTAATTACCAAAAAATGTATTAATTGTTTACTTATGTGAAACTACACACACATGCATGGATGCATTTATACATGGTTCTTTTTAAGTTGTAATTTATCTATTTATTACATGATGTCTTATTATATAATAAAAATAACAATACTTTGTCTAGGCTTATGTATATATATATATATATATATATATAATGACATACTTAAAAACAATCAATGTCATTTTTGGGTTCAGGACTTAAAGTGTGAGTATGTATACAGTCCTTTACATAAGTCTTCTGAACAATCTTCTTCAACTTCCTAAAAAATCCATTTTTTTATTATAATTATCATTCTTATTAATGTTCTAAATTCTGTGACTATGATTGTTTTTGTATATTTTATTCTTGTAAGAAAGTTTATCTCAATCATTGAAGTATATTTATCAGTAGCATATGCAACAATGACTTTGAAATTATAGAAGATGTACGGCAAATGATTTACAGCCAGTTTCTTGGAGCAGAATGTATTGGGTTTTGAAGACATATAAAAAATAAGATGTAAAGATTTTTTAAAAAAAGAAGTAACTACCTGTAAGAAGTGTGCATCAATGTGTGTCTTCCAAATATTTTCACATGATCCTTTCAAAAATAAGCTGTAAAAAATTATAAAGACTACTTCAACAACATATTTTTAACAAACCAGGAAACAAAATTGAATAACCATGTGCTTTCTTCATTTTGTATGTGCACAGAAAAGAAACTGAAACATGCAATAAGAAAACAATACACACAAAAGTTGATTTAACTACTTGGACCACAAAAGGGATAATGGTACCAACCCCTTTCCACAAAGGCATCTCCACATTGGACAACAGCAACAACCTTACTATTGTAAATAACTTGGGTGCCATCTACTCAAACCAAATAAAGTTGTGTGTACCCACCATGGAAATGTAAATAAACTAACTAATTAAACTACCCATCTATCATTGAGTGAGTAGGAAGCAAGTTTTTTTCAAATAGAAGGGATCTCTTGAAGGAGGTGAGCAATAAAACTCAGTAAGAACATGAAGAACAAGAAGAAGGAGAAGTGTTTGGTACACCATGACATACACTGCATGTGTGAGTGAGTGAGTGAGTGCCATGTTGATGAAATGAATGGCAGCTTTCATGGGGAATACACATGCACCCACACTCACAAGCAAACTCCCACTCTATTATCCTACCATGCAGCCAAGAACAATCAGAAAACTCTTATAAAATACTTTTAAATCTGTGTAACACAATTTCCAAGGAAAGACATGCCATGGCAGTAAATAGCCAGCTACCCCCAAAGCAAGGAAGCAAGAGAGTAAGCAAGGGATAATAACAATTAACATGGAAAAAAATTCCCACCCACAAACACAAACACAAACACAATCACCACCACCTCCACCACTACAACTACCACTACTACCATGAGACGGACAAGCAAAGCAAGGAGGAGAGTGGGGTTGGTGTTGGAAGTGGTGGTGGTTCCAGCATCCTCAGCATGATTCACACCCCCCCCCCCCATATATAATTAAAAGAAATAAAAATAAAGATAAAATCTTTGCATTTTGAAACTGCTCTCTCTGTGTTTGAGGCAAGTGGACAGTATGTTGCCACATTGAGTAGGAGAAAAAACACTGACTCATGTGTAACCCTTCTTGAGGTTCTCAACTCAGGCATTTCTGAAATACTATGGTCTTCATGGTATAATATTCATACAATAGATAGTGCAGTGGATTTTATTTTTTACTATTTTATAAAATTTCCCTTTTCCTCTTCTTTGAGAAAATCTACATAAAATATTTTAATTAATGAAAGGTTTCTATATTAGATTTTGCTGCCATGACCTTTGTTTTGTTGTATTTTCTTTGCTTGCTCTATGGTTCTCACTCTGTAGAATAATCTATTTCTTCAACCTGAAAAGATTTTGATGAAAATAAATAAAAGTAATAAACACAATTTGACATGGTTAACAATAAAATGGAATAATATCTCTGTTAAATTCCCACCCTTAGGTACAATATTAGAAATTTTCCATTTTTTTAATCTTATCTTAACATACAAGCACAAAATCAACTTTAAGTTTGCCCAAGCTAAACCAGCACTTGACCCTCACTTAATCTTCATGAGATTATTTTCTTAACAACTGAAAATTATAGATATGGAACTTTCTAAAAATCACATGTGCATATTTACCCTGAACCAGATTTTCCTACGCAGGGCAAACCAATCAAAGTACACACCCAACATGTGAAGAAATAGAAAAAACTTAGACCCCAGTGAGAGGCAACAACTAGATCCATGTCCTTCTGGAACATGAGAATCACAATTAAAAAATAATTGAGGCAGCTTGATTGCTTGCTTGCTTGATTGATTGCTTGCCTGATGGCTTGATTGACATGTTAATATATAATTATGCTTGTGTTTTTAACTTGTGGGTTAAGTAGAAGGTTTAAAAAGTACAGGAAGCTCCACAAGTGTTGTTCAAGCCAAGTACTCCTCCACATCTTCTTCAAGGGGGAAGAAGAATGGGCCCAGAGCCAATTTCATCCTCAAAGCAATTGTTGTCCTTGGATGGGGGTGCACAATTTTTGCATGCAGCGACAACATAAGCACCCCAACACAGATTTCTTTCTACCCACAGCAGCCATAGCCCTAAAACCTAGAAACAACGAGGGGTACTGGAAAACAAATAATCAAGTAAACAACACCAAGGGCAAAGAAGAAGAAAAAGAAGAAGAAGAAGAGGAGCCCCAATTAAGGTTGGCTAAATAGTATGGGTAGGGAAATACTTGAGAGACCCTCTCACTCTCTCACTCTCTACACCAATCATGTGATGGATGAGTAGCCATTTGAGTTGTATATGGCACTTGGAGGAGTAGGCCCAATGGTGTGGGATGTGGCCCCTTTGTACTCTTCTCTTTGAGTTGGCAGTAGTAGTACCCTTGCCAGGTTGGAGAGTAGCCGTGCTGTGATGTGCTGCTAGACAGATTGCATGTGGAAAGGGGGCTTATTCTTTGGGATGGGATGGGATGGGATTTTGCATGGAATCAGCTCCCAGTTGCTGGTTTGTGGCTCTATGAGAACTCACATCAAATGTGTTCCACAAATTGAATAAGATTGATTATATATATATATATATATATATATATTTGTTCTAAGTTCCACACATACTAATCAGAAATTAT